CACCTCACCCTTGGAGGAAACCAGCGCTTGCGCTGGGGGATTGGGGGCCAACAGCTAGTAACAACTGTCAGCCCAAAAACATCATTGAAACTCTTTTAGGCCCAATTGGAGTCTGCGAAATCCAAAGTGATTGAGAAGGATGAGCAATCGCAAAGTGGCGTCTGCCTGCACCTACTACTGAACAAAGAGCAAGGTGTAAGATCAAGGATCTAACTGTGAGACTTCCCGTCATTCACCACTTCAGCTTTACATTTCTTCAGCATGAGGGCGATTCCTCCAAGATGCATATTTTGCTTCAAGCTTCGGTTCGCATTCTTGTTGGCTGTGTCTTCCATTTTCTTTCACGCGTCCATTGGAGCGTACGAACTTGAAACCCCCTACAGCATAACATTGGACGGGCCGGATGCACTAGCGGAAGGCCAAAGATTGTTCGCTGAAGGCAATTTCGACCGAGCTGCTATCTACTTTTGGAGGGCGGTACTTCTACAAGAACAGAACACAGATGCTTATTCTGTTGAGGACGCATTTTCTGGTTTCATACAATCATATTCTGTCCAAGATCGAACAGCTGACGGCTTTGTCTACATTGCGAAAGAGTCATTACATCGCGGTCAGAAGGAAATGGCCGAAACATACCTCCAACAGGCCCTTGCAATCGACTCGAACAATGAGGGGGCACTGGAATTCCAAAGAAAGCTGAAAGGGGGTGGGCGAGAGAAAGTTGACAACAGCAGACGGAAGACACGAGAGAACAAATTCCAACCGAATTATGGAACACCAGAAGCTGATCGTCCGCTTGATGGCAAAACACCTGAAGAACTCTACGAATACGGAGCAACTCTTTTCAGTAGACGGAACTATGAACATTGTGCCGATGTTTTTGAATTGAGCTGCAAGCGTTCAAACTATGAGCTCGGAGCTTCTTGCTCAAATGCAGTCTACTGTAGACACATGATAATGGATTGGGGGTTCAATGGTACTGATTTTGATGGCGACCTATCACGACTCGAAACGATAACAAAAATGGAAAAAGACTCTTATCGACAGGGCGATTTGGACTCCTTTTCTTGGCAGCGAGCTGCGTCCGTTCATCCTCATATGATGTTGGGATACCCTCTGGATCCTATGCTGAAACGGTACACAGCAGAGTCCGTTGCATTTTTAGATGAGACTATGGCAAGGGTTTCGGATGATGGATCTATTAAGGCACTTCCGGAAGATTTGCCTTTTGACCATACCAAATCGTTAGCAGAATATGTGACCGAAGCAAGCAAGCCAGGGTTTAGGTTGAAGGTTGGATTTGTCGGCAGTGGTTTCAACTCAAAAGCTGTACTCTATCTCTCCCAAGATATCTTTCGTTTTTATGATCGCTCAAAAATTGAAATGCACATCTTCTCTGTTGGTCCGGCCGACAGTGCACAGTTCATCAAGGTTGGTATGAGAGGGGTTGATTGGAGGGAAAGGTGAGCAAGTTCAACGAAACCTTTGATTGTATGATTTGAAATTATCTAAACCTTACTCTCTTGTTCCTAGGGTGAAAGCCTATGTGGACCATTTCCATGATGTCCAAGACATAAAGATGGATCATATTGCGCTAGCTCGCTACGTAAATCAGCTGGGGATACATATTCTGGTGGAATGGGATGGTATGTATTCCATCATGGTTTAATTTTCTGTTTGCTGAGTTTGAACTGATAGACCGTCTTGTGGTATCGTCTAGGATACGCTCGTCAGGGAGAGCGTGCACAGGGGCTTATGGCTTTGCGTCCTTCTCCTATTCAAGTGCTTCATCAGGAATTCATTGGGACGGTACGTTAGTTGTGTGCAATCTTTTCATCAACAACTAGTTTCGAGCTGTTATGATTTCACTTCAGTTTGGCTGGTGTATCTCTCATCGCCCTACCGCTCCCTTTTGCTCATTTCCATAATTTCAACAGTCGGGTGCAAAATATGTCGACTACCTTTTCTCTGACGAAATAGCCTCCCCGCCGCATCTCTCCCATCTATACACTGAGAAGATAATCTATTTGCCGAATCACTTTTTTTCGAAAGGACATGCTGTGCAGCAGGAAGTAAAGGATCCAACCTACGAGTATGTCCCAGCAGAGTTCCCATATAAGATTGGCACTGGATCGCCTGAGGAAAACCGCTGCATGGGCAGTGGTGTCAAAAAGCCAACTTTTGTTTTCTGCAACTTCAATAAATTCCTGAAGAACAATCCCGAAACTGTCAGGTCATGGATTCGAATTCTCCGTGAAGTCCCTGGATCAATCTTATGTCTTTTGGAAAATCCTACCAGTGGCGTAAACTACCTCCGTCGATTCGTCCACGAAGCGTCTGGAGAACCAACAACGTTTGTAGATCCAACCACCAAAGCCAAAGTTCCAACTTTTGTACCAAAGGATGGAGATTCTCTGAACGAACGGATCCACTTCTTGAAATGGGAAAGGAATCCTTTCGACCACCAACAGCGCAATCAAGATTTCTGCCACGTAATGCTGGATTCCTTTCCATACAATGGGCATACTGTCGCCCAGGATGCCCTTTATGGCGGGGTTCCGATAGTGACAAGAAGCGACGGTGATGACATGAGCTCAAGAGTTACAACATCGGCCAACGTAATTCTAGGTTTGGAGGAATTGAATGCTTATGGTGGAACAACAGACTACGAAAACATCGCAATATCATTGGGGGCAAACCAAACAAAATACAAGGAGCTACGTAAAAGACTAATCGATACAGCGCTGCAACGTAACCCAATGCACCCTTATTGGGATGCTCCTAGATATGCAAAGAATCTGCAACAGGGACTCCTATTGGCTTATGATAAGTTCTTGTCTGGTCAGCCTCCTGACCACATTACTGTATTGGAATCAAATGAGGCTGCCCGAGGAACATACGACGGCAGCCTTGATACCAACAGTCCTGACAATGACATCGGAGGTGAATTGTAACTACCATGTGATTTCCAACGTTTGCTAAATGTTGGCCTTCTTCGATTACTAGTATTGAGTTAGAACAGAGTCAGAAATGCTCGCCGCTTACGATAGATCAGTCGTGGCGTCAACGGCTTTGACAAGTCACTTAATAAATCATAAAGACTTGATAAATCATAAAGGCAGCTGTGACTGGGGCCTTCGTCTATTTCGATAATATAGAACGAGCTACTCTTAGGACATCATTGAACCCAACATATCCCCACTTCCAGTGTCTAGAATGTCATACATTTTCCCTTCGTTGGAAATCGCTGTCTCCCCAGATTCAAAGAGGCGCTCACGATTCATGATCATATCAAACTCCTCATCGCTTATCTTAATATCTTCGATGTCCGCACCCTTGGCTTGCAAATCCTGGATGTCACTTTCAAGTAAGGATTGCAACTTTTCAAAGGTCATATCACCAGCACTACGTCGTCCTGCCTTCCGAAAGTCGCCACCGGCAATTGTCATCCGTTCTAGCTTCTTCTTTGACATTTGCTTTTCCATCATTTCAATGTCCACAGAATTGCAGGTAAGAAGTCGATAAACAGCAACTGGTCGCGTCTGTCCCAGCCTATGGCATCGATCCATAGCCTGACTATCAGCATGTGGGTTCCAATCACTGTCAAAAATGATGCAAGTGTCCGCACTTGTCTGTACGACACAACGTCAGAACTCGATATTAACAAGGCAACACGCACATTGTGCTGCGACAAGAAGTATAAGTAACTCACCAAGTTGATCCCCAAACCCCCAGCTCTTGTGCTCAACATAAAGACAAAGCATCTGTCATCACGAATATTCCTAGTACCATTTTCGCCGGATGTTTTTTCGGCATTGAATACATCCATGGCCCGCTGCCTATCGTCAATATTCGTTGACCCATCTATTCTGCAATAGCGCCAGTTTCGAAAAGCCAAATAATCTTCGATAATGTTTAGCACCTTTGTCATTTGGCTAAAAATGAGAACTTGGTGACCATCCTTGTGTAAGCGTTGTAGCATTCGATCCAATAGAGCAAACTTTCCACTTGCTCGAACAAGCAGCTGTGGATGTGAGGTTCCAATGTGCACCCCGGAGGCAGGATCAATAGGTTCACCAAACATGAATGGATGATTGACATTCTTGCGGTGATTCATCATCTTGTTCGTTTGGCTCAAATTTCTCCCACCTTCGATACCTTGTCGCAGTAGCTCATCTCTGAGCACCCCTTTGTCGATCAAATCAGCGTAGCCTAGCTGCAACTTGGACATTCCCGAGTAAACCACAATCTCTTTCTTTGGAGGCATCTCAGAGAGAACATCCTTCTTGACACGGCGCAAGAGAAATGGACGAAGAATATCATGTAACTTCGATACTGTTTGGTTCTTGCGTTCTTCTTGAACAATGACATCTTCGTTAGTTGCCCCTCGGTTGCTTTGGCCAATATCCTTGAAACCAAACCACGACTGAAATACCGTAAGCTCGTCAAATATCTGTGGGTTCACAAAATTAAGAAGACTCCATAGTTCATCCAGTGTATCTGAAGGCAAAGATTAGCGATGTACATTGTTGGTGAATCACAAAATAAGCTTTTCGCTTACTTTGAATCGGGGTTCCTGTCAAAAGAAGCCGGTTTCCAGCATTCAATTGTTTCAAGGATCGGATCAGCATGCAACGATGATTTTTAAGTCTATGCCCTTCGTCAACAATGACATAGGTGAATGGGCAAAGCTTTGACAGTTGTCTTTGGTCTCGAATTGCAGTTTCAAAGGACGTTACAATAACGGGGAATGTCTTGTTCTTTCTCTCCTTTGACTTTAGGGGACCCTTCATCATTGCATCGCGTTCAGCAGCAGCTCCATGGTATCGAATAACAGGTTGTGAAGGGAGCCATTTTTGGAATTCCCGAACCCAGTTGGGCAAGGTAGCAAGCGGAGCAACAACGAGAAACGGACCGTTCACATTTTGCGTCAGCAAATGAGCGATGAGCGAAATCACTTGAATGGTCTTTCCAAGTCCCATCTTTGAATCTATCGCATCAGTGACACATCATTTCGACCGAATAACATCAACCAAAACGAAAACATACCTCATCCGCAAGGATTCCAGAGACACCATTTTCGAAGAGACTCGCAAGCCAAAGAACACCTTCAAGCTGGTAGTCCTTCAGTACACATCCAGGTGCAAGATTCAAGGGCTGAACAAAAATAGGCTTCGATCCGGCGCGAACTTTGGCATCCTTCACTAAAGCAGACTTCAGTTCTTCACCACTGTTCTTCTTAGATTTCTTTTTGGAGGACTCTTTCCCATCCGCCTTCCTCTTTTTGGACCGCTTCTCGGACTTCTGAATTTTACGCCTCGCATTTTCTGTCATTGCTGCTTGCAGACCCTCCAAATCTTTCGTGATGAAATCAGAGTATTGCGAGGCTTTGTTTAGAAGAAAATCAAGTTGATTGGTCTAAATTTCGCAATTCCAAAGCAAAAAGTGATAAGTTTGATTGTGATATACTTATAAAAGCAACAGTGACAATATTTCATACCCTTGCATGTGCATGATGTGGCTCGGAATCAGAGATTGTTGAACCTGGCTGTTCCGAATCACTCTCGGAATCGTCTGGGTTCACTTGACCTTGTTCGATGGCACTTTGGAGCAGTTTGGGGGCCGCCTTTACATCTTTGGGCTGAGGATGAGGGTGAAGGGCATCTTTGCTCTCTTCATCTTTTTCCATGGCAACGAATAGAGCTTCTTCTTCGTCAGCCCCTACGGACTTTTCATCATCATTGGCGCCATTATTCTCAACGATATCGTCAGTTCTGTCGACTGATCTCGTGGGTTCAGTGTTTGGTTCATTACTTGTGGGCAAGGCCGAGCCTTGCTCCGGATCGTCCATGTTCAGAAAGATTGTGAAAGGTCAAGAATATGCGAGACAGTCCACAGCCTGTAAGAATTGAGGGAGAGTGAGTGGTGAATGAATGCATGTGCAAGACAGAAAGAGATTATTTAGTTTCGTACTTCGACGTTGGAAAGGCACCAAAAATATTACAGTGAAGATCTGATGCAGAGGTCAAGATTTGGCGTTGTACGGATACCAAGCAGGCATCGTACGGCCTCGGAATACTGAGAAAGATGTGGCAATTCAAAACAACATACAACTATTTTCAAACACTACAGTATTTAGTTTATTCCTTGGTGCCACTGGTCAGAATATCAGAATCGCCGCCATCGATGATCGAAAGCACTGAACAGTTGAAGAACTTTCCACAAGCAGTTCCGAGAGAAGTGTTGTCACCAGCATAGTGGTGAACTTGTGTCTTTGCAAGCATGGCCATGTATTCAACTTCGGACTTTCTGAGATGTGGACAGTTGGAAGCAATCAGAATCATTTTTGACTTTCCCTTTCGAAGCGACTTCAACGAGTGTTTGTATCCCAAAATTGCTTTGCCAGACTTCATCACCAACTTCAGCCGACTGTTCATAGAGTCTTGTTGCTTCTTCTACGCTCGATAAAACAAAAGATGTTAGTTATCATCCATTGAAGCGAACAATGCAATCTTGAGCTTGAGTTTGAGCTTCACCTGTGATGATCACCATCTCAGGCAGACAACTTCAGATGATGCCCCCTCCGGTGTCATCAACGTACCGCTTTCTTGGAGACCATCTTAACTTCAGTTTTCTTTCTTTTCCCTCAAATGATCTGTTGATGTTATTGTTGGTCCTTGAACCGGGAAAGGGACGGACGGTCCAGTTTAGTAGGAGGTAGCGAGTAAAACATTTTGCGGACGACGGATGGACACTGTCCTCCCACTGCTGACCGCTGGAACGGCCGGGAGATAGAAATTTAGCATACAATTCTTGTGAGTAAATATTGATTTTCCCGGCAGTTCCTACTACCGGTATTCTGAATATTCTTGATGACATAGAATACTGTAGCTCACTATTTCTCATTCATCTACATTGCATTGCACTAATACCAGTCACGTCTACTACGACTTGAGTAGTTATAGCTAGTCTATGATAGTGCTGTAGAATCATCAGGCACGCTTTTTGTCATGGGCGTCCTCACAGAAACTTTTTTGAGGCAAAGCCTGTTTTTTGCATGTGTTGAAGATACAAAGCTGGTGGGCGTCACATAATAGCTCCTTGCAAATAGTACCTTGATTTCGATATATAATACCGTTACATGCATGGGCTCTACCTCCTTTAGCTGTTATTGTAGAATTTCGGACCTCAGTACTATTTAGCACATCATAATTTTACTAGGTAATTGATGGCAAAAAATTGCCAAACCTTCATCTGGCCTTCTTTAAAAAAAGCTGAAGGAAAGAAACATAAACGATGCGGTACACCCGCACAGTCCTCAAAGAAAGTTGACTCTGTCGCGGACCATGTCACTGTCTCACAAAATTACGAACAAAAGTAGGGTAATATCATTTGCCTAGAGTACAAACTTCTGCCAGGTAGCCAACACATGAAATGAGACGACCTAGCGTCCGCTACTCTTCTTCTTTCTACCTTTCTTCGCACTTCCAGGTGTTTCCCACTCTTCTTGCTTCATTCCAAGACCTCTTCTGTTGATAAATTCCGTAGCAAAATTATTCACTTGAGATGTTGAACCAAGGTATGTAGTAAGATATTGACGTATCTCGTTTGCATCATCCAATGTCATGCAAAATGCCACCAAGGTCAAGTCGTCGCCGCCATTGATTTTTTGCATTTGTTCTTTGCACCATGTTTCAAGTCCGGGAGACATGGTTGTCCCAAATTCTTCAGCAGGGGTTGACGATTGAGCGGAATCGAAACCTTGCTTTTGCGAACCATGCGTGACCTTTCTTTCGTTACCAGGTTGGTTGTGCAGTTTCTCGCGACCTTGCACTTGACGACCATTCTGACCCATACCAGTGGGTGGTGTTGATTGCTTCAGCGTCCCACTCGACCATCCCGATTTCCCAGATGCAGCCACATTCGCCCAACCACTTGATTGCTGGCGTGGGGCACTATTTCGTTCCATCATCGCCACAGCTCTAGCCTCTTCTTGTTGAATCTCCGACATGCTCTTTTTAGGATTTGCTGTAGTTGCTCCACCCCAAGCAGTAGACGGCTGTTTATGATTTTCTGGTGAAGTATCTTCAGCTTTGGTCTCCGCCTTCACTGACTCGGCTTTTTTGGAGCCCTTGGTTTGATGTATTCCCAGACTTCTCGTCTGAGTTTCAACTGGGTTTTCTGGTTCGGGAGGTTCCGTTTCGTTCGTATTTTCGACAGGAGGTGTATCAGTGGAAAGCCCCAGGATCATCTTCAACTGAGTCGAAGACTGGTTTCCTGCGTTTTGCGGCTCTTCTTCTCCGTCGCTCTTCGCCGATTTTATCATTCCCCGATCTCTCTGGCCATCAATCAACAACGGCTGATCTGATCCTCCGTTCGAAAGATCGGGCTGTATATCATCCGAAATTTCTGCAATCGCAGTTTTCGATTCCGCAAGCATAACGCCGATATTTTCAACTTCTTGCACTGCTGCTCTAAATGCTACCGACAAGTCAGGAAACAAAGTAGAAAGGGGAAGAAAGGGGCCCTGTGGATTTTGACTGATTGGTAGATCTCCCTTGAAGTAACCCGCCTCCAGCCATTGCCGCATTTCATCTCCTCGGAATGGACCCTTTATGTTGAACAACGTCCATCAGGTTAGTTCCTATGATTCCAGAACACTACAACACAAACGAGGCTTACCTGTACATTGTTTTGTGGATCAGAATAAAACCATGGAGCCTGATGGTCAATCTTGGTTTTCACAGGAACACGACTTTTCTCAGCTTCCTCTAGTTGCCGCCTCTCCATTTCTTCCTGCTCCAGACGGGCTTGGAGCTGCTGCTGATGTTGTTGCCACTGGGAATTCGTCATCGCTAACACAGCTATATCTCCACCGAAACTTGGGTCCCGATGGAGCGAAACTCTACGCGGACTCCGAGCAATCAAAGCTCTTAGTGCATCAACATGTCCCAGCAGCGGGATCACTCGCGAGTCTTCAGAATGCAATGTAGTTAAAATTGAAACCAGATCAGACCGTCCCCAAGAATTTTCAAGAATTGTGCAAATGCGTTCCATCAAAACTAGTTCCACTTGCGATTGCTGCGATGCAGCTTGCTGTTGGAGTGCACTTGCACGAGCATGCCGAAGAGCTTGCTCTTCTGCCTGCTTCTGTGCTTGAGCTCGACGTTGTGCTTCTTCTTCCTTCTGTCGGCGAAACATCCCAGCTTCATGTGACCGTTTCTCTGCCTGCTCGTCGCGTAGCCTCTGCTCTCCAGGAAACGAACTGAGTTGGGGTGATATGCTCAGATTTGCATTTGCCTCTCCTTGCTGTGCTGGGACCTGGATGCCCCAAGGATTGAGAGGAATTGTCGTAGCCCCACCAATGCTCATCAAGGGGTCCAGGCCTGTAGGATTTGGTGCGAGGTTTTCAGAAGTTCCCCATGGGTTCGAGATTTGCTGACCATTGCTGTTATCATTTTCTGGTGCATCTCTCGTTACTCCGATCATTTTCATGAGGCGAGAACTGGCATTTGGATTCTCTTGGCCTCCCCGTACCGTCGCAGCTGCTGCATCAACTGCTGCTTCATTTTCACTCGGAGAGTCAAAATCCTCAAACACATTCACATCATTTCCAGATCCAGAAGCGAGAGTCATGCCAACACTCGCGAGTGGACGGCTCGGATCTACCTTAATCGACTGATGCTGGATATCATCGTCACTCGGGTTCTTTGGTCCGTGCAACTCTTCTTCCAATTTCTTTGAGGCCTCTGCCATTTTCTCGAAATCAAATGCATCATCGTCCGGTATAGCTCCGAATGCGCTAAAATCTGACGCTGCTCCCGTTGCACCTCCCATAGGATCATCCCACAACTCATCAGGACTTTCGGCATCCTTGTCTTTGCGCCTTCCACCTTCATCGGGAGGTGGAAGAGCAACACCGCGCTGCCATCGTCCTCCCGCGGTATTTCTTCGACGAGGCTCGTCAACGGCCTCATTGAGTCCACGAGAGGGAACACCAGCGGCTTTTCCACCTGCTGGCACTCGACGATCACGGATGGCCTCCCAGATCGCTTCAGCATCCAAGCTGTCCCAGCAAACTGAGGCAGTGAAGAGAAAAAATGAGAAACAATCAAAATGAAGAGAAACCAATGGGATATACACGAACCTGGGTCTTGTGGAGCTTTGGAGAGAACTGCCGAGCCTTCCAAATGACACAAGGTAGCAGGTAGCGACTGGTCTCCCAAATGAGATGGGGGCCTCATCGAGAGCAGTTTCTCTCTTGTGTACCGAATAACTTTTGGGTCGGGCTTATAGCTGTCCGTCGAGACAGGTGTTCCCGGGTTTCCGTGATCCCCAGAGCGCAAGCCTGAAAATCGGCCAGAGCCTCCGGCAGATCGTGACTCGTAGTTTGAGATATGCCTTCGGCCAGCAGGTGAGTTTTCAGGAACTTGCGCCGCCAAATCAGCCAAAGATCTGCCAGATGGTTTAGGGCCGGAAGAAGACCGACTAAAACTAGTGCGGAATGCTTCTCCTCTCGGAACACCAACTTCTCTCTGCCCACTTCCTGCTATTTCATCCTCCTCGTCTTGCAAGGCGGAGAACTTGTTGTTGTCGCCCCGTTCCTGACTTCCCCAAGATGATGACCTCGGCTGATCGCTACGGTCGGCAGAAATTGTGGGAGGAGGTTGAAATCCTCGACCTCCTCCACCTCCTGCTCCCTTGGACCAAGCTGGTCGCAATGAGGAGCCACCAGGTGTGTTCATTATCTTGTGCAAGTTTGGTTACTGTGTCTTGATGTGCGATGAAAATCAGAAGCAGTCTTTCATCCATGTTGATTGTGAGACCTTGGTTGCAACTGTTCCCAAACGAGAAACAGGATTCTCTCTACTGGTAGCTTTTCTACAGCAGAAAGGAATTAGGATCTACAACACAGTAACGCGCACATCGCGCATTGAAGATTCCATAAAGTATCAACGATTACTTTTGAAAAGATTGACGGCTGACGGTTTTGCATCGTTCTGTGGAAGTACACAGTAATCATCCATTTCAGTCTGTCGAAATGGTGGTAGGTGTACGTACCAGGTACCGTACTGTCACATTGCTATATTACTATTCAAGCGTAATTATCTAGAGCCACGCTTGCAAGAGTTCGTTCACATGTGTCGTCATGTCGTGTCAGCTGAAAGTAGTATTGCCGACACCTTCAAGCAACCTTTGTGTTCCTGCCGGTCCAAATTTGTGGAAAAAATCGTTCAACCAGAAACAGGCACTCTCGTCAACAGCGCTTTTCAATTGTCTATATTCAAGGAAGCGACTTTCAGATCTTTGCTTCATTCCGTCCCTTGCATCCCGGCGAAACTCCCATTGCTCCTTTGTCCCAACATAATGGTGAACACAGAATGGGGAGTCAGAGTTTCTCTTGTACAGATCACGTCTATTGCATTCGCTGCGGACTGGTAAATGTGCATCCGAGTTTAGCCGAGAAAAACTTGATTCTTCGATTTTGGACACGTCAATAAGGCTTTTTGGATTTCGATTGTCCTAGACAATCCACCGTTGAGCATTATAATTGTGATTATAGGAAAAAGATAGCAGTGCAAACTCAACGCACCTTTCGTGAATCTAGAGATGCTCTCCACCTCCAGCGTAACGTCAACAGATCCATGTCATTGAATCCTGCCGGCGAAAAGGTCTTCTTCATCACATTGGACTCAAGGTAGTTTCCAAAACGAACCCGAGGCATTGTGATACATGCACAATTGTTGTACTCAGGCATTTGGTGGATACCTTCAAGCAGCGAGCTTGACAGCAAACGTTGCTTTTCAAATTTGCTGATGTTCACAAAATGCCTGTTTGCAATCACAAATTCGTCAATATCAACGACAGCCGTCCAGCTTCGATTTGCTCGCTTAAGGTGCTGAAAACAACGTGGATAGAAGTGTCTCTGTCTCTCGCGATGGAGAATGAATTTGGCTTTTGCGTCACCTTGAGATAAACTTCGACGCTGCCATTCTTGATTACATATGTGGGGAGGAGGTCGGGAATAATCCAATTACATCGGCACCGACGTACCTTTTGGGAGAAAGTTACCATCTGACCAGCGGACAATAGTCATCAACTCTTTCCATCGATCTAGCACTCTAGAAAAGGACGGCAGCACATCGGGTGAGTTGCAGCTGCTATGTTGCTATCGTAATCAGCAACTCCCATAAGATTGGATAATTTTCAACTCACAAATCAGGAGTTGTTTTGGATCTTGGGTCCACAGCAATCACCAAGTGCCGAAGAGGAAGCGTATGGTAGTGGAATGCCAGCCCTAGTGAATCAAAGAAGATTCTTTCATTAGCAAATGATTGACACAGCGCTGCAAGTCAAAAGGGAAGGATCTTACATTCGATTAAGTAGTGATTGTCATCCATTACGAGCAAGCATGCCGAAAATGAAGAATCTTCCACCATTTTGTCAGTGATCTTTGGGCTTTCAATTGTTTGCCAATCTCGTTGCCAATCTCGTTGCCAATCTTGTCGCGTTGGAATTCCGTCAATTTTGAAAAGCAGTTGTTGAGATGAGGCCAGAAATATCAGGAATGGGATTGACCAAGACCATTTTGATCCTCGCTTAACCGAAATGGTCGGCATAACGATACCATGTGCTGTCCAATCAAGATTCAATCGTCGTTTGCAATGTTCTGTGAGCTTGATTTTTGATGATTGATTGATTCCTTCGACTCAATTGAATTTTTTTAAAAAACTGAACGATTAAAAAAGTTAAACCATCGATGAAACAGCAAAACAAAACAAAAAGCAAAAAGCGCGTTGTTCAACATTTGAAGGAATCCCTCTAAAAGAACAAAGTACTTAGACGACAAAACAAAGACTTGGAGTTACCATAATGCCAGGACGGCGGAATGGTCGGAGAGGAGGGAGCGGTTTAGGCTTCAACCCACGACTTATTTTTTCTCAAATTTGTGCGCTACAGTGCTACCACTACCTTCTCCTGGGATTGCTGCTGGAAGTGAGTATAAAATTTGGATTTCTAGCTCTTCAAAGACTACGAACTAACTGCTTTTGGCAAACGTAGCTGAACAAAATTTTTTATGGCACCAGCATCACGATCGAACGAATTTTCACAGACAACTATGTAAAGGTTTTTGCCTGGAGGGGGTGGTCCGACATTTCAGCAATACTGCTTTCATCATTGATGGGTTCAGTCCTTCTTGCTATCATCGTTGAAAAGTCGAAAAAATGCCTAGACTTTAGCGTTACACTCTTTCTTATACACGTCGTACTTTGCACGATATACGACGGAATGCCTGCTACTTGGGATTGGTGGGTGGTTCATATATTGGGGTTGATAATAATGACTCTATTCGGAGAATACTTGTGCGCAAGGAAAGAATTAGATGAAATACCATTATTGCAGCTGTAATCCAAAACTACAGTCCCAGTAAATTTAATCATCGTGTGCTGCCCGCAAGATTAGTGACTGAAAAAGGAAGGGATGTGAGCAAATAGAAAAATGTAGAGATATGACACGTTTTCGGGCCACAACAGATCCATCAGAGCATTTGAATATTTTCTACAATTGAAGTCCATCTAGTTCTAACATATGTACTTTTGCACCATCCTTTGGACTTTCAGATGACGAGTTCCTCTTGTTTGACACGTACCAATGGAGAAGTTTCGTTTTCTTTGGTGGCTTTGATTGCACTGACAAACTATGAAATGTTCCTTTCCTTCAAAGTGGCCAAGAGCTCCCCTGTTGTCTCGATTAGCCTGGAACATCCTCATACGTGCGTACTGGTGCTATTGGATTTCTATTCAAGAGGATTGGCCGCATCAACCGTTGTAGTGTCGAGGCAACCGCAATGTCAAGCTCTACCTTCACCCAACCCATTCGTCGAGACTGAAGCAGTGAAATATAAAATGAGATTCTGACATAACGAGCTGATGACCTTACAGGTTTCACAACGCCATGACCGTTTTCACATCGCTACACAATAGCCATCGTCTTGCAGTCAGCCCATACCGTCTGTAGGTCGCACGTAAACGAGCGACAGGCTGAGGGGGATCACAAAATCGATCCATTCGTCTAAAATAGAACCTTATTTTCCCAAGATTGGTTTCAAATTCAAATTCCACATTCATTCACGGCATTGTTTTTGCACACAACCACCGAAGATACATCACAAACATCATCGTCTCCAGTCCTCGCACCATATATATATAACTGAATCATTAATTGGTTTTTATGCTACTTCTAGAGTATCCAACTGCCGGTGTAATACGGCTGTAGAGGCCAGGAACTATGCTGCTTTTAGTCAGATAAGTTTGAACCACGTT